TTTTTCCTAAACTTACTCTAAAGCAATAAAAGGGAGAGAAAAAGAAAATGGGTTTGGTTCTGCCAGGAAGAAAATTAAATGATCTCAATCCTTAATATGCTTTTCATTCCATGCCTCTCAGTGGGAAGTCCCTTACTGTATATCTTGGTCTAGTTTTTTTGGTTTTACCAGAGGTAGCAGAAAACCTACTAAGCTACATTGTGCTTGTTCTACCACTGTCTTGTGGATGCTCATTTATATAGCAAGGCAGTTTGGGGCCTGAAGGGTTAAGAGGTTAAAAGTGTGGAGCTGGGAGAAGAATATGGGAAAGGGATAACAATCTCTGCTGATAGCAAACCAGTTTGGCAGCCTTCACCCTACAGAGGCTTTTTTTCCAATTTAACTTCTTAATGCTATTCACACTCAGGCAGTGGCTTTGCTCTGCTCTCCTCTCTGCTTCATAGCACAGCATTCACTTCTTCCTGAATTTATATCCTTGCAGCTCCTGTGGGAAAATCATTTGGTAACTAATTCCAGCTTCAGAATTAAGCAGAAATGCTGCAAGTCACATGATGCTGCCTGTGTGTTCTCTCTTTTTCCCTTTTTTCACAATGTCTAATGCAGAGTGATCCTTAGTCATATTTAGGAGGAAACCTATTCATTCCAAAGAAACATCAACCACTTAAGAGCCGATTGGGTAAAGAGTAAACAAATGATTCAGTAAGGATCACCAGAGAATATATACTCAATGTTTCCTAAAAGTGGCTTTATCTTTAAAAGGAATGTGAATTACAGTAGGGGGAGAGACCTTTTATCTCCCAAACTCTGAAGATTACTTCATTTACTGCTTACAGTTCCTGTAAGCCCTGTAGATCTGTGCTGATAGTTTCTGTGAAAGACTCTGTGCCTTCTTTGAAGTGATTTGGTTCAGCTGGTTTTCTAAGTCAGCTTTTCATGGATTTCAGGAAATGCTTGGGGGAGGGGAGAATCACTTTCTCATAATGCAGGTGACATTTTACCAAATCAGGCATCTCAAATTATTCAGTTGCAGCTCTGTGGGGCACTCTTTTTGCATTTTATGAGCAGAGAAAAACAAAACTAAGTTTTAACTTTCTCTGAATGCAGTTTAGCCACTAGAAATGATAGCTGCAAATGTATAGGCTTATGGTCTCTGGATCCTGTCATGGACCCAAGCCATAGGTTCTTTTTAAGTATCAAACCTGTGCACTGTAGATCACCAGGAGTTTAAGACAGGAAAAATCTTTTTTAGGTCTAGGGAATGTCTGCACCCTTGTAATTTTGTGTATGTTAATTTTCAAAGAGAACTAAGCTATCCTTTCCCCAGTGCACCATAATGATGAAGTGTTCACAGACTTTTAAAGTGTGTGAACAGCATTTCTGGACAGTTTCATTTTTCCCCTCCGAGATTCATGGGGTTTGGTTACATCAGGCAGCAACCTCTTCTTGCTCAGGGCCTTGTACCTTTTAACAGAAACAAGGCAAAGCAGAGTTGGTGCAATTTGCTCAGCCAAGGGTTTGATTCACTCTATCAAAAACTATGCATCACTATAGTCTTAACACATTGTTCCTGCTCCCATGAATTTAGAAGACAGTTAAGATTCCAGGGCAGATTCATCCTGAGTGCATTTTCTACTTGCTTGCATCTTTCTATTGTAGGCTTTTGAGGGCAGGAATCCTCTGCCTGCTGGACTAAGACAGACTACTTCAGTAGGGCAAAGAGCAGGACCACGTGGAGACCTGTCTGCAGTTACAGAGGTAAGCAGTTAAACTTTGTCAGCAGGATAGGTATGAGAGCCTTTAAAACTGAAAACAGAGATGCTATTTTTTTTTTAAAAACTGTCACAATAAAGTTTATTATGTTAATATCATTAAAAATATTATAAAATAATAAAACCTTCTGCTTGGCAGAAAAATTACGCCAGGGTTTTAAAACCCCAGGTTTGTGCAAACAGTTTTTGTAAACATAAGAAGTCAAGTGTTCAGGTTCCATCCCAAAATACAGTAAATTGCTACAAAAATAAGTTTGCTCACTGTCAAACATACTTAAAAACCCAGGACGCTGGATTTTGTTACACATTTCTCACGTGTCCCTATGCAGTTAATGCTGTACTTATATCTGAAACGGAAAGGATTTCAGATAGTCCTTTAAAACGGGATTGAGTGGGATCTGGTTTAAGTTCTCTCCTCCAAAAGTCTTCACGATGCTCTTCCGGCAGAGCTCCTGCAGCGGCTGCACCCGGACCTTGCGCAGGGGGGTAACCAGTACCTTCCTCGGGGAACTCAGGTAATGTTCCAGCAGCTTAAAAAGGCAGTCAAAAGTCTCTTTGCTGCCATCCAGGCTGAAACGACCGGTCTGGAAGTTAATCCGGATGCTGGTGGGCCCAGACGCAGTCTTAACACTGATGGCAAAGAAGCAATTCTTTTGTGTGCTGTCCCTGATGAGGAAGGTGCCCTCGGGCTCAGACTTAAGCTTCTCGTGGGCCGCGCTGACAGACAGGGGTCCCCAGTAGAAGCCACAGGCATCCAGCAGGCTGTTGGCTCGGGTGATGCTGCTGAAATCCGCCTGGGAGCGGAAGGTTCGGAAGTGCGTGTTGCCCTGTGCCTGCACAGTGCCGGGGCCGTGCAAACCTCGCGCCTGAGAACGATCCCGTGCCGGAGGGTCAAGTAGCCGTCTTGGGTCTGCTCCAACTGCATTATCTGCTGACACCTTGCTGTGCGCTACCATCCTACAGCCGAGAGCAGCGGATGCGGTCTTCCATAGCGTCAGCGGCTACGGCGGGGCAGCTTTCCAGCAGCTATTCTGAAATGCCAAAGAGAGACACCATGTGAGATCCCCAGAGGGAAGCGGCTGCAATCGCTGAATGACCCAAGTCTTCCATTGATATGCCTCCCACCCGTTATAAAATAATAAAATATTCGTTTTCCAATTTACACTGGGCAAACAACTGCTCGCTTTCTGACAAGATTAACAGTCTATCACTATGGCAAAGCCCAAAGCTCCAAAAATATTTAGCAAGGATCATTAACAGCTACAGAGGATGATGCAGTTTCCCTGCTATGAGCCCACAGAAGGGTACCAGGGCCTACTGAGTCAAATGACTTCTCAATGAGAAGTTATCTTGTGTACGCCCCATCCGATTCTCAAGTTTTCAGAGAACAAAGCAACAAAGTTTTACAACTGAATTACCAGTTTCTCTGCCCCTCCCTCTTTCCCTTCCCCAGTGTCAGAACTCAGACAATGTCGTTATTTGTTGCATTGTGTGAAAAAGAGAAAGTGAGTGAAGGGTATGTTTCCGGATAATTGGGGAAGAAGGTGCGACTAAGTGTAACTTGGAGGGGCAGGCTGTAACACGGCCAAGTTACACAGCAATCCTAAAACTATTTTCCTCTCCCCTGTTAACCTGAGGCTCAGCTATAAAAGGCAATTTCCCATTCCCCAACTTTCCCTTGGGACAGCAGTGCTACAACCTCACTAGCGTATACAAGTCAACCTCTGTGAACCCTTAAAGCATTACTCCGCAGTCTCTCTCTTTTCTGTATTACATGCACTTTAAGTGGCCCAATCTAAATTGCTTCCTATTGATATATCTTTCAGCATGAGGGACTAAATTCATCCCTCGTGTTACTTCAAAGGAATTAGCAGTGCTGCACCAGGAATGAGTTTGGCCTGAAATGTCTGCCTCTGACAGTGTGGTTCAATACATCTCCGCTGGCTGCCTTGACCTTACTGGCAAGCATAGATTTTAGGATTTATCCCTATAGTCAGATATAGATCTGCAGCAGCAGCTTGTGAGAAACCTTGAAGTATTCTCAGAAATGAATCCCTCAGCCATCTTACAGTTCAGGGTAACATGCTAATGAGGATTTCAAAGAAAGTACGCAGCTGGATTCCTGTCTGTGCTAATTTAACAACTTGAGGAGGTAATATGACCTAAATGAAACCAAACATCAAGCAGCTAAGAGGGTTATAAAATCCTTATGCTGGCAAACAACTTAACATGCTGAAAGTAGCATTGGGCTTGCTTTGCGTAGCAGAAGGAAACTGATGCCAGTTTTTCCAGTTTCTGGGCCAGGATTATCGCTCAGTGTTTAAAGTTAAAAAATTTAATTTCAGGACAACCTGGGGAGAAATAATCACTAAGCCAGAGATCTAAAAATCAAAGGGCTCCCTAGCAGAAGCCGTAGAGAGCCAACAGAGAGTTTGGGGTGCCTTTCCGAAGGGCACGGAGCAAACAGGGGACGCGCCAGATTTCAGAGCCCGAAAGCCCGGGCAGCGGGCTGGGACGAGGCCCCGGCGGCCGTGCGGTCACTCCGTGCGGTCAGTTCGTGCGCTCCGTCCCGGGGCTGCCCCGGCTCTCCCCGCTAGTGAGGGTCCCTGGGCAAGAGCGGTGCCGCGCAATACCCGCTGCGCTTTCGCTTTATTGCTTGTCCCACTGTTTTACACCAGGCACGAGAGCTCCGTCTGAACACGGACACAGCCAAAAGGGCAAGGAAAAAAAATCCAGAAACAACCAAACCAGACAAACCAAAAAAAAAAAAAAAGGGCAAAGACCCCTGAAGCCACCGCGCTCCTGCACAACTGGCAGGACTCTCCGAAATGTCCCCTCTCCTGGCTGCGGCGCAGGACCCTCTCGGTGCACGGCGCGGTTGGCGAGGACCCCCCGGCAAAGAGACCCCCCATTACCTCGGGGCGCCGTGGGTGGGGGCCGTCCCCGGAGCGCAGCACACGCTGCTAGTCCTGGTGCTAGTCCTACTCCTAGTCCTGGTCCTGGCCCCGGCGGCCGGCCGAGCATCCTCCGCGGGGGGCCCTGCCTGGCGCCGCGGCGAGCCGGGGCTGCCGCGGGGCGGGCGGGCAGCGGCTGCTCCAGCGCTCTGGGCCCGCGCATCGCCGCTGCTTTCTATTTAACGGGAGGCGATGGGCTCGCACGGCTCCTCCCCTCGCCTTCTCGGAAAACACGTGGTCCCGCTTCACTTTCGCTTTCCCAGAGTCTCTCCCGGTGGCCCCGAGCCAGCGGTGGCAGCGCTGCGGAGAACACCCCGGGCTCCCCGCCCCGCCCCTCCGATGGAGCTGGTCCCGCTCGCCAGGTGACCCCGCTTCTCCAAACTACGTCTGGGTTTACTCTTTTTTTTTTTCGGTTTTTTTCGGTCAGGAGGGACTGGCGGGAGGTGCTGCCGGGTAGTCCCGAGCACCAGAGCGCTCTGAGGCCCCGGGGAGGAGAGGGGACACTGGAGGTAGGTGATGGATGAGGCTCTGACTGGCAGTCAGCTCAAAACGCGGGAGGAGGGGAATGGCAAGGAAAGCAAGTAAGCAATCGATATGGGAAGTTTTAACGTGCTGCTCTCCTCAGAGCTAACAGGTCAGCGTGGACAGAACAGGTGAGAGGGCTCAGTGTATAACTTGAATGTTCAAGAAAGGGCAAAAAAAATAGAGCAATAATAAAGCGAGAAAAACATTCAGAGACGCCTATAATCCTTCTATTGAGAGGACTGTAAAGACGTTACACTGGGGTTTGAGTTCTCAAAGCAGAATTTCCCTGGGGTTTTCTACAGGGTAGTCAGAGTTAAAAGTTCAAATCCCAGCTGTATTTATAACCTTGCCAGCAGCCAGTGCAAGAGACTTGGGATGCTGTTCTGCTTGCCCAGAGGGAGATTTTAAACCTCAAGTACCAAACCAGTGTCTTACGTGCTCCCTTAAGCAGGCCCAGTAAAGTATGCTTTTTCCAAAGAGCTTTTTTCTTAAAGTAATAACCAACATGTTTAAAAGTCCAGGAAGTTTCCCCGCAATCAACATGTTTTGTGACAATGAAGAGGAAATGTCTCTGTCAAATGATTAAGGGGAAAGGGGCTGGAAAGGCCTTGTGAGTTGTCCTTTGGGATGAAGTTGAGGGAATGTATGTCCTGCTTTGACGCTGAATGTTCTTTTCAGAATCTAGTTCAGAATCTAGTGTGGTCACAGACTGACTTAACCCAATGGCAATATAGCATCCTACACTGATGTGCAGCCAGTGTACAAGAGGTGAACCTGGAAATTTCTGATGATGGTTTAGCCACCAAGATTGAACTGCTTAGTTCTGTCATGCATAGTTGTCATGAATGTGGAGAAACAGAGCTTGCCATGAATTTTAAGACCTTGCAAAGAGATTCACTTTGTGCTCAGAATACTCTATCAAACAATTTTTGAGCAACAGAGCTTTAGTCAATGTTTGGCATAAGCAGCTGGGGGAAGATCATCTGCTTTTCTGTGTAAAACAAAAGAATGAAGCAATGGTGGAACTGAAACTTACTTTAGAATTTGAACATGCAATAGTGAGAAGTGTTTTGCCACTATTTGCTTTGGCGTAGTGCACTCCATGCTGCGAGCAGATTCAATGGCTGGTTTGATGTTCATGTTCAGACAGGTAATACAACCAGGCTTTGCCCTTAACAGCTACTTAGGCAAAACAAAGTCCCCTTCCTCCCCTCCACCCTTCAAAGGAAAGGGTTTTGAAGTCCTTAATTCTGTCAAGATAAAGTATATCAGAGCCAAAAGTACAGCTGAGATCCTCTAACTCCTCCCTAGCCCCCAGGCACCCAGCCAGGCTCCCTCCCTGCTGCTGCACCCTTGGCTCCTGCCACCACTGTGGCTGTAAGTGGGAGCACGGCAGGGCTGCCACAGTGCTGTGCATGTTTCTCAGATGAGATGGAGTTGGCTGAAGGCTGCTGTAGATGTGCCAGGAAAGCTGTTTCACTCTCATGTAATTCGTAATTTTGTAAGATCACAGGGGAAAGAAAGATCCTGCAGGTGCACATGCAGTCTGTCTGCCATGCACTCAGTAGTGCAGCTGATGAAGTGTCTGTCCAAAAAATCGTCTTCATTGAGCAAGAATGTGGTAATAATACTCAGTTGCAAAGCTTCAGAACTTGGCAAGGCTCGAATGGGCATGTTAACTCCCAGTTGCTGAGGAGAGTGATGGAGTGAGCCTGCCAGCTCGGACACCAAAAGCCAAGTGTGTCAGGCTGCTGCTTACAGAGTTTGACACCATCTCTATGTGAATCACAGTAGAGTGGTCTGGGGGGCTCCATAAAGTGCCTTGAAAAGGCTTGCCCAGGAGAAGTGGCCATCAGCTGTAATATGTGAAGGACACTTGCACAGTGAGTGTAGTTTTTGTGACAAGAAGAGCTGGGGTTTTAGGTGTCCCACAGACTGAGCTTTCTTGGGATATCTTCAATTCTACCCACTCATGTTTCATTTTTGCAATCCCCCATTCCCGTCCTCTTTCCTTTCTTATATCATTCCCGTCCTCTTCCTTTCTTACATCCACTCCCTCAGCTTCAAACCCTACAATGTGGGCCTTGGGAAGAGCTCCACGCCGGCAGGATTGGATAGTTACTGTACCCAGTAGAGGGCAGTGCAGAAATTTGGAACCGGTGCAGAGCTGCTGGACAGAGCCCATGGAGAAAGATCTCTAGAAAGGACTGAAGCTGAAAGCAAAGCTGCCAGTTCAGATTATTCTGATCTGTGCTCTGTCACTCAAAAAGCAGTTGCTTTTTGCAAGGTGAATTAGACTTAGGGTCTGTTTGGTAAGTAAAGCTTTCTGTGTGAAACACCTACTTTTGTCTTCTTCACAAAGTACCTTTTCACGTGGAGAAACAAATTGTGTTCCCTTTCTTCCCTGCTAATGGTCTCAGAAAAGCAAAGCAAAGTCTCAGAAGAAAGAAAATTATCCAAAGACATTATCCCATCTTTCTTTCTCCCTTGTTTCCTGGGGCAGCAAAGTAAATGCTTTCGATCTGAAGGTTTCTATCAGTAAATCTCCAAAAGCTAGAACAAAGAACAAACTCAGCTTTTGTTAAAAATAGAAGCCCTTACCCCTATTTTGTAAGTACTGGTTTGGAAGATGACAGAAAATTCAGAGGAATTGCTGGGCATTTGTACAGCAGGAGCAGGGCTAGAAACAGGGCAAAGGGGAGAGGGAATCTGTTAAGAAAGCACTAGGGATGCCAGGCAAGGTCTGCCCGGTGGCAGCAAGGGAAAAAACATGGGTCTGAAAGTGGTTTTGAAGGTAGGAGAGTACAGTATCTTTTGGGGTACACAAGACATTTTCCTGTTGGTTAGTTTGCTTTCCAAACCCCACACTTTTATCCCTACTAGCAGCAGTGTAATGCAGACAGAGCTTCCTTTAGTTATGCTCCAAGCCTTTCCTCACCCTGTGAAACCACCAAGAGAGAGAGGGTGTGGTACCAGGTATGGTATTCCCCAGTATAAATTCCATTATGGGGCACTCCACACCCTGCTGAATTCATCCCCACTGCAGGGACAGTCCTCTGGGAAAAAACAAAACAAAACAAAACAAAACAAAAAACCTAAAACAAACAAACAAAAAAACTGAAAGGCTTAGAAAATCAGCAAGCACTCCCTATTTTAGCCTCTGATTCTCTTATGAATCTGGATTAATTGGCAGGCCAATGCATCTGTGGAATAGCATGTTGTTTAGAGTTTTGTTTAGTAAGTGGGTGATCAGTGTGGGAATTTAATATGGAATTGCTATTTTCTTGGAAGAACAGTTCAGTAAACAGGGTCACATATTTTTCAATAGTGTTTTGAGGTTAGAGGCTCTCTTGTGCTTATACTGTAAATGGTAGCTCTTATGTGAATGTGTTCGTTATCTAAACTGATCAAATCACCAACATCGTCTTTAAAAAAGGGAAACTGAAGCACCAAGAGATTCAGTGATTTGCTTGAAGTCACAGAGAGAGATAGTCTGCAGTAGGGCTAGGAATGGAACATAATTCAGGTCTTCAGAGCCCCATACTAGAAACTTAACCACAATACCATCCTTCCTGTTTTAGTGGGTTTTGTTTTCTTCTCCAGAATCTGAATTTTCATTTAAACGAAACCCTTGAAATCGGAATTCTTTGATTTTGCAAGTAAATTAGACACCACACTGTCTCCGAGTCTGCTTTCAGATGCAGTGAAACCAGCAGCACTGAGTGAAGTGTGAACCTCTGTCACCCACTTTGATTAGGTTTTAGGGTCAGAGTTTGATGCATTTAAATGGGACGTGTCCAAAAGGTGTAACTACTGTGACCAGTCATTTCCTCACACACCTCCCAATTCCATACTATCCATTCAACAATTTTCTAAGTTAAGAAGTAATAAAGTGGACCTGAGGAATACAGCTCATCCTCTTATCCTTTTAGTCAGTTTTTCCAGGTAAAATGGCTACAAAGATGACTCACTTTACACTGATACCACTGAAGAACAATGCGTGTCTGGCACAGTTGTCAGTCACAGCAGACACGTCATTATGCCAAGAACAAAATACATTTTGAGGAATTCACCAATCTGCTATTATCAAGCCTTGATAAGCGTCTACCTAGACAAGGGTTAACCAGTTGGTAAAGAGGTAATAAATTCTGTCTGAACTGGAATTTGTGCTGTTCTGCAGGAAATATACAAGTCAGATGCCATCCAGTTGGGATGGACAATAGGAATCAGGTTTGTCTTCCTAAAAGGATCACTCTATTAGTTGTTAGGAAGTTCCAATGGCTAAAATGAAAAACACTGTGTTTTGGAAGTTAAGCAAATTTATCTTAATTGTGTACTAAAACTGAGTAACAGCTGAACCTCTCCCTCTCGTCAGCTCCCTGGAATAGTCCATGTTGTCTGAAATATTTCACTGTAAGAGATAAACTGGAAGAGATAAATGCCATGTTTCAAATAAGCAATAAACTGTCTAAGGCTATGAGGGAAGTTTCTTTCTAAGCTGGCTATTCTGGAATTGTTTATTTTAAATTATGCTAGCTACTTTTTCAGGGGTAGTTAATGCTGGTTTCCCTGAGCCCAGACTAAATGGATCTTGTTTGATGTTTCAGTGGAAGCTCTTTGTAGACATTAACCAAGTCAAATCAAGATTCGATTTAGCCTTATGAATTCAAATGCTGAGCAGTTAACCACACAAAAATGTGGTTTGGGCTTTCTACATCTCAATAGTTTAGACATCTTTCTTGGTAATTAGTTGAGTGGGGGGAAAAAAAGGAAAGTTTCAAATTGTTGGCAAAAGTATTGTGAAAGGGCAGCCTGCTTTCTGGTTGCTTTTTCATCTGAATGACAATTCTGTGTTGCTGGATTTTGTGTGTGTGTGAGAGAGTCTGTATGTGCATACTCCACAACTAATGAAGGAACTGTGGATCCCTAAAAATAATGTTGGTGCTGATTCCAGAGATAGCAGGGTGTTGTTCAGGGGAACTGCAGCTTTAAATACTGAACTGGATATGTTAAAGTAGGAGCATATAAAGTTTGGCTTCCAGATACACTTACTGGACTACAGAGGTTTCAATGCTGGCTGGAGGAACACAGGCACTGAATTTCAGAGCCTGTTGCTAATTTTATTCCAGTCTGGCTGAAATAAAGCACCTCAGTGATCCTTTCCAAACTGAGCCAGTACAGACCTCTGCTCCCTTTCCATTGCCTCCCTTGCTGCCCTCTCTCCCTTGCTTGAAGCCACACTCTGTGTTTCTCCCTGCTCTCATGTCTTTTTGGATCCCAAGCCCATGAAAGGAGAGTAACGTGGCACAGAATTGATGCTGAACTGTGCTGTGGGTTTTAGAGACCAGGTTACTGTTTGTACATGCAGTTAGGGTCCTCAGGCATTTATGGATCCATGAAATATGGGAAGGGAATTCTGATGGTAAAGAGTGCAACAGGAGAGGTGGTAAGCTTTGGGCAAAATTTATTTTTGAGTGGGAACATTGAGGATACCAAAAAAAAATCAATTAATAATGCCAAAAGGTCTCCAGTGTATCTTTATTACTAGTTTAATGGTATCTTTACTCTCTGCTTTTATAATTTCCCATTCTTACAGGCATTTTCCACCACTTCTTTTCCTTTACAGTGCCTATTTAGCTTCTCCTGAATGATTTACATGACTACAAATTTTCATTTGCTGCTGCAGGTGGACAGTGTTTGATGCTCCTTCTGGTTCTCCCCTGAGTCCATCTACTCAAACCACAGGCAAATGCTGTGCTTCTACTGAAGTAAGTCAAGGGCTGTGGAATCAGTTTCTAATGCATTTTATACATGGGCATAATCAACACAGGAGGAGATTTTCATGGTTGGGGTGAGGTGGAGGAAATGACTCAAGTATTCCCTCACCTTTGGTTTTCACAGAAACTGATTAAAATTCATTCTTAATATGGTCAAATGGATGCAAATCTCAGTTCTACTTCCTTGAATGTAGGGAGATTCTGTAGCCCAAATTAAAAGGAAAAAAGTGGTCTTCTTCTTGAAGTGAAAAAAGTGCTGCTATAGGAGACACAACTAGCACAGAGGAAGTTGAGAAATCAGAAGGTGGTGGCATAGCAGTCTCTTGCAGCTTCTCATCCAGATCCGGGTGGACAATCTTATTTCTGTCACAACTCACTGAGACCCTTCCAGATTACTTAGTTGGACTTTTAATACTTGAAGCCATCAAGCCTGGATGACTAAACCTGAATAAATCACTATTAATACTCAGCCTTGAGAAAATATCTTTCATGGGCATGATTTGCTGGCCTCTGTATTTCTGCTGTGATTCTAACCTATCTTAATTGACAGATCTTTTTTACAGCTGCAGTTTCATCTCGAATCATACACCACCAAACTCTTAGGATGATGGAATATATTAGGTCCTGCAGAATCTAATAACTCCTATACCCAACAAATAGAAACTACTGAATGTGCACCTTATATTCTACTGTACAGATAGATGCTATATAGAGTTTATTATTGTCTTATGGTCTTGGCTAGTTATGTAACACGTCTACAAATATATAGGCAAGAAATAGCTAATGTGAATTTTAATGTCTCAGTTTTCAAAGTACTGAGAAATTATCCAGATTTCTGTTTCTCCTCTGTCCCTGGAGAAAAGAGGTCCTGATACGTGGGTCAGCAGTTTTCTTCAGAGTACAAATATTAATTCCTCATTTACCCAGAAAAGAAAAGGAAAAAAAACTCACTATAATTGCTCTTGTGGAGAAAGAATTGGATTTTTTTATTGCAAACCTCAGCCAGTTTTACATGTGAACTCAATAAGCTGTGTTCAGAATAGATTAACTTCACCATGCTCCAGCTCCAGGAAAATTTCTAGGAATCAGGAGAATAAGCTGACAATTTCTGACACGAGATAAAAAGTCCTTTAAATGTAGAATTTTTGGCATCTGTTGTTAAAATGGTAAATTACAAACATCATCTAACGGTATTAATGAAGCATTCTCTAATTTTAGAAACATCTATATCAGTTACATACAGACCTCACCACACATGCTTTTGGATTAATTAAGAAGAAATATTACATTATGTAAAATTAGTGTAGCTTTGCATGCAGGCCTTGATGTCTCCTAACAGTAAATTAGGTAATTAAGAATATGAAAGTGGGAAGAGTGCCCAGCCTGGAGGATTTGCTTCAGGAGTTCTGGAGATCTCACTGAGTTGCTCTTGCAGGGAGGTTTTGCTGTCTGTGGTGACTCACCTTCTAAGGGCCACTTTGTCCTCTGACAGTGTGAGAAGTCTTATATTCACTTATCTTAGGCTGGAGTGCTGATGCTGTTTTTCAATTGCAGGTTTATTTCAGTTCATAATAACGTCAAAATAAAATGCTGGCGACTGTCTGATGAGTCTAAAGGAAGCCTTAGACTTGGTTACATAAATTGAATTGAGCTTGCCAAGGTGACCTTCAAAAACTTCTTGGACGTATGAGGAGTGACATGTGATGACCTCAAACCACAAGTAATTCTAATACAACTTACTCACAGAAGAACCTTTTGGGAAGGTGAGTGAAGCTATTAGAGGTGAGCAGTTTAAATTTGTACTTCTCTTTAGTTCTTTACTCCACCTGTCCTGTTCTGGCTCTGTCTTATACTATTGGAGTATAGACTGAGTAACCTCTCAGTTTTTGTAGCAGTACCAAAACTCTGTCCATGGTTTTCTGGGTTTACCTCTAAACAAAATGATCTGTATGTTCCTGGCATTACAGCCTCAACCAATATAAGTTACTGCAGCCTTCAGGTGATTGCTGATTTACTATATATCTAAGCTGAAGTTCCATAATTAGATTTCTCTAATCATCAGTTTAAAAATTCAGATTAGCTGGGTGTTGTCAAGAAAAAGCAGATATAATTCTTCATATGCCAAGTGTTGGGGCTTTTTCCCTCAAGAACTTTCATAGGCAAACAGATGAAATTAAGCACCTCTAGCAAGAAATACCAATACACTGATGAATGTGAATTTAAACACTGAGCTCTCTCTCATCATTTCCCATATAAACAGGTCTATACCCTCTCTCCCTGAGTCTATAAGGAAAGGTTAAAATACTAACAGGGAGTGTGGATTTTGCAGTTAGTCAGCCCCTTTGTAATGCTCATACGGTGCTGTGCCTTACCCGTGGTGAAGGTGGAGCAGCTACACACAAGGCCCTGCACATCCTGAGGTTTGCTGAGCTCCAGAGCCCCCCCAGGCACCCAGAATTCCTGGGTACATTAAAAATGCTCCAGTATCTTCCCAAGTCCATACTTACAGACTATGCTGTGGTCAGGAGGAAATCGTTAGTGAGTTTAGATTTCTTGGCTAAAGACTTGGCAGGAGTTTCATCAGAGCCCTTGTGAAGATTTCCTGTTACAGTAGCAAATAAACACAGGTACAACAGTACAGTGTCTGTGTTCTTAGGAAGGTTCTCAGGATTTTTTTTTTTTTCCTTTGTTGTGCAGGTGAACATTTTGTTCTGTGGTCTGTGCTGGTGCTTAATTAGGAATGTGATAGATATACTGTGGCTATAGCAGGGTGCAAATGTGACTTCATGTTAGCCTTGACTTCTGCATCCGAAATGCTGCAAAAGGCAGTTGGGCAAAGATCTCCAAGTAGATATTTTTAGTAAAATGGAAAAGCAGGACTGCACCCAGAATGGAGCAGTGGGGTCCAGACCTTAACTTCACTGCTAAAAATAGCCTGGTTTGGAAGACAAAGACATTCAAAGCTCCCTTCTAGATACATTTATGTTACAAATTTTGAGCTAGCTGAAAGGATACTGCCTAACACCTCCAATTTCATTCTGGCTTTTTATTCCTTGTATATTTTATCCTTACTTTCCTAGTGTCCCATTTTTCCCCCGACAGTCATTGACCACTGGGTCACAGACCAGGGGAGCCCAGGGCAGGGTTGTGCCCTGTGCCAGGGGAGCAATGCCTAGAGATCCCTGCACTGGAGGGTTCCAGGTGTCCAGGCTGGAAAAAGTAGCTTGCCTGATTCAAGCACTGGATAAAAGTCCTGACTTCTTGCTTGCTCGTGGATCACACTAAAAATAGCTCACCACTGATAAGTGTGCAATATATAATGTGTTATTCCAGCAGTAAGCTGAATAGCATTCCCCACTTTTCCTCCTCTGTTTCTCTCTGATTCTATGAAATTCAATAAAAAACTTAGTCCAATGCACACACACACACACAAAGGAATACATTTACTCTCAGTGGCTGCATTTACCATCAAAGTTGGTAACGTTTCCTGAAATGGGTTTCTGATCCCCCTGAAAGGCTGCGGGTTTTTCTTCTTTTTTTCTTTTCTTTTCTTTTTTTTTTTTCAAAGGTTAATTTCAGGGAAACTGAACAACACACATGAAACTGTAAAATATCAACTGTGCAGATAAATTGTGGTATCATGTGTGTGACCTGCCTCCAGTTCCATGAATTCCAGTGAATTCCCAGTTTCCGCTAGCGGGTGGCAGGCAGATCTGAGTGTGGCTATTTTCTGTTAATTTTGTGCCAGCACATGGTTGTGATGGTGGTAGAAGTAGGAGGGGTGTGATCTGGGGAGAGAGGGAAACACCAGACTCAGACTGGGGACGTAACCCATTGGGTGTTACAGAGTCACACTCACTGAGTTGTTTCAGGTCACAAATGAATCCCCTTCATGTGACAGACTCGCTGCAGAAAATACCAAGAATGGCACAGCCTACAAAGCTCTGGCAAATAGATCATCTCCCATGATTCATGCAGCGTCCTTTCTCTGCTCTGCACATGGTGAGATGTGTACTTGAGATGTGTACTTCAAATGTGTACTTGAAAGGCAGGGCTAAAGCCAAATCTGGATTTAAAGAACGACCAGCAAGAGAGTTTTGTGCAGCATAGAAAAGAAAAACTGATCCCAAGTGTCTGTAGCTGCCAACATAGACTGTCAAAGCAATTTTTTACTGGATGAACTGCATGTTTGTACTGGTTATTAGGAGGCTTTCCTCTCTTAATTTCACTCATACCTTAGCTCTGAGACACTGAGAGCATCACTGCCAACTTCCCAGAAGTCCTGTGGCTGATTCTAATTTGCATAAACTTTTCTGCCTACTGCTATATGCAGACAGAAATGGGTCCAACAGAAATATTTTCTTGGTTTTATGTTTCTTCCCTTATCTCCTTCCAGCCTCTTTTTCAGGGCTGGGGAAATATGACAGATGCCTGTACAGGCAGGAGATTTGGGAGAGTCTGGGTCATGGTTTTCCACTGGGTTTACTGCCCCAATGAGCACTCCATGACTGGAGACAAGTCCTCATCAGCAGGAATTTAGCAGCCATTCCGCTCTGAAAATGGGATTCTGGTGCAGTCATGAGACCCCATCACTCTTCCAGAGAAACATTACCCCATTTCCTCTTCTCCTAATTAGCAGTCTGCACTTCAGTGCAGCAGAGACCACAGCCTTCCTCCCATCCTGTACACTGGTGCACACACTGCACCGATTTCATGTGGTTACAAAGCCAAGAACTAAAAAACTGGGCAATATCAGATTTACATTTGCATATGCAACCTGAAATCTGCCCACTCACACATTTGTGCACCAAGTGACACAGGGGTGCTGGGGAAATGTGTGATCTTAACTCTCACAAAACTAGGACACAATTGGCAGAAAGGCAAGGAAGGTCCTGTCTCAATTTTAAGGGCTGAAATTTGCAAACAATTACATTTTTTTTACCATAGATTCCTATAGAGAATTCTGTATTTTACAAAGAAGAAACTTTACCAGGATTCCAGAATGTTTTTTTTTATACAAACTTACAGTTGTTTTAATTAAGTTAATTGCCAGGAAGATAATGTGTTGAATGTGGGAGAACAGGACTCTCCTAGGTGCTGAATGTGGAGATCACTGAGTTGGGGCAGGATAGGCTGGCAGAACTGTGGTCCCCCCGCTTTTCTGGATCTTTGAGCTCCTGCCTTACTTAAAACTAATGATGAGACACCAGAATTGTTCAAATTTTGAAGTGCTTTTGTGCTGCTGTAGCTGCCTGTGCTCACGCTGGTTTCTAAACAGACGAGCTGCAAAGCCTGTGTGCAGGTCAGGTATGACTCAAATTCAAGTGGATGGAGAGAGGGAGGTAGAAGAGTAGAAGGGGCAGTATTTCTTCCATCTGAAGTGAATAGATAAAGAAACCTCATGAAAACAACGCTAAACATACGTGGCCTTTTGGAAAGTGTCTCTGTACAGATGCATCCACAACATCTAGAGTGATAAAATCACCTCCTGAGCTGAGTCGAATGGCATAGTTGAAGTAGAGCTGTAAATAAAAGTGGTAGGCGGTTTCCTGCTAAAACTCCCCTGCATGTCCAAGAACCCACTGTGACTCAGCCCTTGCAGTCACTGGGAACTCAGGGCAGACACCCTTTACTAGTTGGGTAGTTTTACTTCTCCTTTTGCACCATACCAAGAGGGGCTCCATTCATCCCTGGATGGACAATATGACCCATAATTTTTTGTTGTCTTAAGGTAATGATCTTACACTAGACCCAACAAGACTGTTCAGACTTCTTGTCTGATTATCAATGACCTGCAAAATTATCTGTCTGCTTGGATCTTTCATGTGCAAGAATGTGATTCTGTAATCCACCATTACAGGTGTTTACAATTATAATACTCAGGAATAACTTTTTTTTTATTATTTATTTTGAAGGGTATGTGTGTTAATATGCTGAACAGGAGACAATTACATATTTGCATATGATACATTTTCCAATGTACTTACTGTTCCTTTACTGTTCCTTTAAAGAATTAGCACCTTTGGAAAGATGAACTGAGCTGGAAGAAGCTATGCCCTTGTTAAAATAACAGCAGTAGCAATGCCTAGTAGCTTTTAGGTCAGTAGCATCCAGAGTCTTACTTCCCCTAGTATATTTTATGTCTGAAGCTGTCAGATGTCATTTTAGTCCTCTGGGCTCAGAGTTTTAGAACATCCTTTGCCATTGTGATAATGCTCTTCCTGGTCCATTTTGAATTTGCACAGACAGTTGCCTTTCCACATGAAAAGTTCAGAACATACACAGTTTTAAACTTGGCATTGGCAATTAATAAAACAGATTTGGGAGATCTGCAGGTTTCCATGAGCTGACTTAGAACAGGCTGTTCTTTCTTTTTCTCTCTTATCCCATACAATATTTATTCTGCTGCTTCTTTCTTTTCTCTTTCATTTCTAGCCTGTCTCCTCTCTTCCAGTTCACAGTCCTTTTCTCTGTTTTTTTTAAATTTATTGCACTCCCTCTATGCTAGTCCCAGCTAACTCCTTATTGGCTTCTTCCATAATACTGCTGGAAGTTTATCCCCATCTGACCTTCCTCTGTGTGAACAAATCCCAATGTCCTAGGTTTCAAATTTACTCCACTCTAGGTTTTTTCTGCTTTCCAGCCCAATGTTTTATAATTGCCCCTTTAATTTCTGTTTAATATCTCTTTTAGTTTCAAGATGCTCTTGTCTTTTGCTTTCTTTCTGTCTGTTGTATTAAGTATATATACTTCGGACAGGTTT